GTTTTGGGGATCCGGAGGGGGGTTGGGGGATCCCGCAGGATCTGGGGGAATCCAGAGGGTTTTGGGGGATCTGGAAGGCATTTGGGGGATCCTGGAGGGGTTTGGGGGGGGATGCTGGAGGATCCTGATGGGATTTTTTGGGGGGGATCTTGGGGGATCCCAGGGGATCCCGAGGGATCTGGGGGGATCCGGAGGGGTTTGGGGGATCTGGAGGGGTTTGGGAGGTTCAGATTGGTTCTGGTGGGTTTCAGAGGTTCCTGATGGTTCCTGGAGGATCCTGATGGGATTTGGGGGGGATCCCAGTGGATCCTGGGGGATCTCAAGGGATCTGGGGGGATCCCAAGGGATTTGGGGGGGTCCTGGTGGGTTCTGGTGGGTCCCTGAAGATCTGGGGTGACCTCATCAGATCCCAGTGGATCCTGGCAGATCCCAGGGTGCTCCCAGTGGCTCCTGGAGGGTCCTGCCAGATCCCAGTGGATCCCAGTGGATCCCTGCCCATCCTGGGTGATCCCAGCGGGTCCCAGCAGATCCTGGGTGGTCCCAGCGGGTCCCAGCAGATCCTGGGGGGTCCCAGGGGGTCCTGCCAAATTCTGGCAGACCCCAGTGGATCCCAGCTGATCCTGGCAGGTCCTGTCAGATTCCAATGGATCCCAGGGGGTCCTGCCAGGCTCTGGTAGATCCCAGGTGATCCCAGGGGGTCCTGCTGGTCTGTGGCAGACCCCAGCGGATTCCACATGATCCCGAGGGTCCTGGCAGATCCCAGTGGATCCCAGCAGGTCCCAGGGGGTTCCAGGGGGTTCTGGCAGGCTCTGGCAGACCCCAGTGGATCCCAGGTGACCCCAGGGGGTCCTGGCAGGTCTTGTCAGATCCCAGTGGATCCCAGGTGATCCCAGAGGGTCCCAGCAGATCCTGGCAGGTCTTGTCAGATCCCAGTGGATCCCAATGGATCCTAGGGGGGTCCTGCCAGGCTCTGGTAGATCCCAGTGGGTCCCAGATGATCCCAGGGGGTCCTGCTCATCTGTGGCAGACCCCAGTGGATTCCACATGGTCCCGAGGGTCCTGGCAGATCCCAGTGGATCCCAGGTGATCCCAAGGGTCCTGGCAGATCCCAGTGGATCCCAGCAGGTCCCAGAGGGTCCCAGGGGGTTCTGGCAGGCTCTGGCAGATCTCAGTGGATCCCAGCAGGTCTCAGGTGATCCCAGGGGGTTCTGGGGTCCCACCAGATCCCAGGTGATCCCGTCC